ACACGACACACAGCGAAAGCTGTCGCTTATGGTCGTGCAGGCTGCTGGGATCTTTGATATTCAGCGTTATAAATTCGGGAAAAGGGCATTTGATAACCAGAATGATATTTTGAATAAATCGGGTGACGTGTCAAACATCGCCCCTGCGACTCTAAAGAGATCCATATCATTTAAGATTTGTCTATGTCATTCTTTGGCCTACCTGTCTGATTCTCATGCCCCTGAGCCCTTCCAAGTGGTGGTTAATTAATAAACGCTAAAATTTCTGCTTTTTATTAAATAATATAATCCCATATCCATGGTTTTGTAAAAACTACATGGTCATTCTCATGTGAAGACGTATAAAGTGCAAAATATATACTGCATGCAGATCACAAGATCTTGTTAAAAAACAATGCAATTTTATTGATAAAATCTGCGATCACATTAAGTTTAGAAGTAAATGTTCGATTACAAGAAATAACAGCATTACGCTAAAAGATCAAGGTCAAATTTTTGTTAATTAAAAGCTAGTATTCTCTGAGATCAATTGGGTCATTTAGTGCAAACGACACAGGTCAATTCTTTACCATTGGCGTATGGTGGGCAAGGAAGAGAACCACATTGACTTTCAACAAAATACAGTAGTGCACCATCCTGACCACTCTGAGATCCTGTTGTACCTTCAGCGTTTCCGTCAACACAAGTGAACTGGGTTCTTCCTGTGTGGCCATAATATGCTGACATGAGATAACCTTTATACTCCAAGGTCCAACCCGAGGGACAGACATTACGAGCTGGAATCATCAGGTGACTGCTACGTGACTCAGTGTAACAGACTGCGCAAGGTGCATCATGGTTATAGAGGTTTTGGGGAAACATATTGGAATGAGCACCTAACTCGTACTCAGTACCGTACATATAGCTGTATCCTTGAAATCCCGAAATGATTTTGTCAAATATTGGATTCAATGGCAAACAGAGATAGTTTGAAGCACCACCAGTATGTGTAAAATACGATCCACCCATCACACCTAAACATCGATGATAATAACTCAGAATTCAAAAACGTCAGTGTAGAGGTACAGAATGTATAAAAACAGAACTTAATATATTTAATTATGCGCGCCATAACAATAATCAATATTGCAAAATAACAACTCATTAGGTAAAACTATAAATAATTAATGAGGCTAATGAGGATACAGGCTGTCGATACTACATATCGGTGATATAAACCAATTGTGGAGCGATAGTTATTTAGGTCACATGTATACCTTTTTAGATCTCTTCACTACGTGCTTGAAAACCAATTACTTGGATATATAACATACTATTGGCTGTTGTTTTTCATGTTAAAAATGATAACCGTAATGAAAACATTTGGAATAGCCTGTCGGTCATGCCAGCTTTCACAATTGTGTGCAAAGAAACAAATTCTTAAAAACTCTTGAACTTCAGGCTATAATTTTACATTACTTTCAATTGCTTATCACAAATGTAATGGTCTACACATTTCAGCCATACATTAAAGCTGTATACTCACGGAGTAGTCTGTATCCTACATATAAGTGTCTTAATTAAAAATGATAATAGAGTTGAATTTGTCATACATCTCCTTTAGTAAGTATTTGAAAACCAGTTACCTGAATACAACATGGTTGTGTTGCCAGATTGCGGACAGTCACTTCTTCCCCACCGTGTGTACACCACACCTCCTGAGTTCCCTTTTACCCCTTGTGTCCCTGTCGGTCCAGGTGCACCTCGCTTTCCTGGCGGACCTGAGGAAATTAAATATATTCTTGATGACTGAATATATATTTATAATCTGGGAAAAATTTTTAATCTGGGAATAACAAAGGGTATTTTCGGAAAGAAGTTGTCAAAATTAGAAAAACTGCAAAGTTTGGTTGCGAAATGTTGTAAAATACGGAAAATATAGCCCTGCGAAGTTGGCAAATTTGTATACATTTCTATTACGTGCGGAAATTGGTAACTAATTTAGTTACCAATTCACGCACGCAATACAAAAGTATACAAATTTGCCAACTTTGAAGGGCTATATTACTAATTCCAAGACGCTCTTTCCAGCTGTGGTGCTAGATTTCGTTGTTCTTAACCTTACTTAGATTAAAATTTAGTCTAAAGCGCAAGTCGTCCATTAATGTTTCAAATATACAACCATGACAATGCATATGAGCAATTGGTACACTAGCACTATATAATAAATGCAGGCTGCTGGCCAACAAATAATTTTTGATAATGTGTAATTGTGACATCACTCTGCAGATAATTAATAAGTTTCTAAATGTAAAAATAACGTCAGCTTTGCAGAGAATAATCCGCAACGCCTGCAAAAGCCAGCTTCTTCACATGCATAAAATATAAAGCCAATGCGAGATTTACCTCTCAAAGCAATGTAAAAAAAATAAATAAATAAAATACTAAACGAGCTAGAAACTAAGACCACATTAAGAGTTTAAACAAGTATCTCGAAGAGAAAAAGAAAGGAAAACGTCAAGACAAAAGCATTCTTTCTGAAGTTGTAAAACTATTTTACTAAATTAAAACAATCTTTATTGTCACGCTCAACCCCATCCAATAATCATTAAATAGTTGCATGTTCAGCTGGCTATACTATATCATTGCATGCAAGGTTGAAATATATTTCTTCTTTTTTACGTGAAACTGCCATTGGCTTAACCAAAATTATCAGTTTCTGAAAAGTGAAACGTATTATATAGTTTTGAAAGACTTTTGGGCTTCCACAGTGTCGCAGTTTTAAGCGTGCCTACGTGATTTTCAAAGAAGAGTAACGGTCAACTTGACCGTTGTATATTTTATGACCGATGTAATTGTTCTTTTACAATACGATAATTATCGCAAGAATCTTCACTAATTCTCCAGTTGACATAAAATATATTACCAATATATAATATATTACCAATATAAAATATATTACCAATATAAAATATCATAACTTACCAATAAGCATCGCATCACGGCCATCGCGTCCTGAAGTTAAACGAAAAACAGAAAATATATTAAATATTTGTTAATAGCTAAGCCAGGCCAAACCATGCGAAGCACAGCAAAGCAGGGCCGGATTAACATCGCGCGAGGCCCGCGGCAGATTTTAGCGCGAGGCCCTCTTGCCTATGAAAACCTTTGTAATTCAAAGACACACAAAATTGTTAAATAATTGCTTTCAATATTTCAATTGATTGGCATCAATTATAAACAATTGCCTGCCTGGCCCAGTTGTTGTGTCAACAAGTATAAACAGGATCATATATAACAGATCAGCGCAACTGGAGATTACATGCATACGAGTATTGTATATTTTCCTGGGGAAACTGCCAATCGTAGGGGCCCTAAATGCGCGATGTCCCTAATTCGCGAGGCACCTAAAATGGGCGTATCCCAATAGAAAATAGGCGTGTTCTCGTAAAAATGGGCGGGGCACAGTAAAGCGCGGGGCCCCCATAAGCGCGAGGCCCGCGGCATATGCCGCATCTGCCACGTGGTTAAATACGGCCCTGCAGCAAAGCATTTGTAAGTGTGTGTGTGTGTGTGTGGGGGGGGGGGTTGTCCTGGCTACATACAAACTTGAAAGTCCTTGAAATTGAAAACAATTATTTAAGGCCTTGAAAGTCCTTGAATTTTTCTAGCTTTAGATTGTGCATATTTTTGGAAATTTGTTTGTCCGTGTTAAAAAGCGGACATTTTGTTCAATTGACATTCATTAAAGTTGCAATTTGAACAGTTCAACGTTTCAGTATTATTTCTAATGCCTCCTTTTCAGCCCTTTATTCCTTCAATTTCCTCACCTGACATGGGCTTAAAAGTCCTTGGAAAGTCCTTGGATTTTACACTTCCTGACGATATATTTAACTGAACGTTTGCTTCTAAAATTTATTTGAGGTGTAAAAGCGAGGCCCCAATTCATGAGGAAAAGACAAAGGAAATCACTGCCGTGTCAGTGGTTCTATACGTGATAAACAATCATATTAACTTGCATAAACTTTAGCTTTGATTTTCTTAGCTTAGACAACGTTTATTTTTAAAATTACTTCGCCAATTAGCTCATGCATAAGCTGGGTCCTTTTTGCAGTCGTGCTTTATCAAATATAAAACAGTCGTGCTGCACACTCGTGTTTGATATGTGATAAAGCACTCCTACACGCGTGCTCTAAATAGTACATATAAAGTTATGCATGGGCACTTCGATTCACGACTAGATTCGTGACGCAATCTTGCTAGGCCTGACAATAAAAAAGTGCATTGAAACTGTTAATATTGAATAACAATGAATTTTACGTTACCGTCTCGTCCAGGTAATCCCGGAAGTCCCTGACAAGATCCACTTGTTCCTTGAGTTGACAAGGCTCGTCTATTTAATGAGAAACGCACTGTTTCATAAATATTATTGATTCACATTTCAGCAATCATATACTCATGGAGACATTTCACATTTGCACAACTCCACATATAGGTATACCTGTGTGTAATGGTTTTCACTTGACATAATTAGCAGCATATTAGACAAATCTCTGACGCATTATATTTTCGAAGTTTAGATTTAGCTAATACTGCACATGCAGACAAACATACGAACGCATTTCGTGTTAAGATACATCGAACAACGCTCGTATATAGAAAACTGCTTAAAATATACATTAGTTTCTGTTTACCTTTTCCTTACTTGATCAGCGCTCTCGGCTATTACAGCGAGAAACAGTAATTGAGTAACGAGCAAAATAAGAAAGTGACGGAACATGTTTTCCCTTCGGTAGAAGAAGAGTTTCCTAGAACTTTAGTTTACTGAATTGTCTTCAAGTCTATAATGAGCATTCAGTCGACTAACATGATGTTAACATATCGTGACAAACAATACCTTTAAATTTAATGACGCAGTATACCACGGCGATCGTAAATATTTTGTATTTAATAGTAGGTGGGAATGTAATATTGATGAAACAAACGCATAGTAACACCATAGTTGTGTTTTTATGATCCAGTCAGGCAATTGACTGCATGATGGATCTATATTGACGCAACAGACCGCCCAAGCTCCGTATGCAAGACGAATTTCATAACATTTTAATGAGACCGTCAATGCATGCCTTTAAATATTTAAAGATGTTCCACATATGAATAGACAATGAGAAAGTGGCATATAGGGCGCAATTTCACCCAGCTGTGTTTACAATACAAACATATAAGACCTACATGCCTTGCTCAGGTTATTACTTCACTGATTGGCTGAATACTTTAATCAACCAATCAGTGTAAGCCAATTAAGGCCAAAACTCTAGGCCTAGGTTTGCAGTGTAAACACTGCTTTACAATTCTTATCCATGACGCCAATTTAGGCTCCATTGACACGGGACAGGGTGGATATAGATATTTTCTCATAATGACGTCAAATACGGATAAACGTTTAAAGCAATGTTACACGGGATAATTTTTGGAAACAATTCACAATTCAAATGATGTTACATGAAACTTGATTAGCTCGGCAACCATTTGCATTGTTGCGTGTCATATCGCGTTAGTATATAGTTAGGTAATAGTAGTATAGTATGTGGTTTTCGGGCCGGATTTTTGCGGTGGTGGTGGTGGTGGTGGAGTGTGGTGGTGGTGGTGGCGTGGGGCGGCGCATCATTATATATGCAGGTAATTACTATGCAAGGGGGCGGCGCATCATTATATATGCAGGTAATTACTATGCAAGGGGGCGGCGCATCATTATATATGCAGGTAATTAAGGGGGACCGCACAAGTGAGGGTGCGTAGTGACGTCACGCGGGCCTGTCCGGGCGAAATTGGACAAAATTTGCTGACTACGCATTTTTTAGCGTCCCCCCGCGTGTGTGGTACAATTGAGGGATTAATGTTGGCTTACTATGAACTTTTATACAAGTATCTGTATAAAATCGACAAGCGTCTTGTAATAGGCATAGTTCTGCATTTGCTCCACATCAGTCATGGCGTGTCTACACGGCAAAACCACATCTTACAATTTATTGGAAGGAATTTTTGCGAATGCAGTCGCACAAGAAGTTGAAAGACTTTGTGTGGAATCCTGTAATGGTTGTCAAGTCGGTCATCCTAGTCAAAGACAACATGACTGCCTCATGATGAACGAAAACGAACGATGGCAAATGTATGGTTTACAAGCGATCGAACGCGTGAATGGTAAGCGTATGGTTTGGAACGAATTCGCTGAGGCAATGAGGGTACTAAAACTGGCGGTTGACAGAGATGTGCTCGAACATTTACAGCAACTGGAAAAAGACCCAGATTCTACGTTTGTCGATTCATTGATGGAACTACATCAGAACACTGAGAACCACGAACTACAATGTATACTGAACTATTTGTTTCATTGGAGATTAGAAGACCCACTCGAGTCCGTAGCTGAAGCGTTTTTCTCTTACCCACCGAGTTACATGTATTATGTGAAGGAGACGGGTGAACGATTTAGAAGTTTTGAGGCAGATCATAAGAAAGCTTATCAAGAACTCATGGAGAAAAAACTTATAGAACAGTTTAACAAATAGTTTTAGTTGTAATATTTTGACACTATCGTCTGTTATTTGTATCAATAAACATGTTTTAAGCTTTGCAAATTTGCGTTGTTTATGTGTTGCTAAGTCATTAGGAGGCGTGTAGGTAATTAAGGGGATTAAGGCAATACGAATTTGCATAACTAAGTGTATCCCGATGGATAGATAGGGATTATTTTTTAACGCAGGTGTATACCTTAAAATCAGGCGCGTGGCTTTGCGGGTGCATGCATATATTAACGTACAACATATTTGTACACTAATCAGGCGGGCGGATCGCGCGGGCGGAAAGAGCGGGCTTTGCCGGCAAAAATTACACAATATTTCAGTTTTTAAACACATTTATTTCTTCCGTAATCCATTTGGTATGTCTTGGGACTGTTATATGAGAACACAGTTTTAACCTCTTTGTAGTTGATAAATTACTTCGTTGGCCTTGCCTTCTATTGCTTCCGCGTCCTGCTTGTTGTAGTAGGACTTTTGCTCCTTGTTTGGCAAAGTCTTTAACAACGTCACCTCCGTGAGTCTTTACAGATTCTCTTACATTTTTTTCCTTGGAGTACATCTTGACCCACTTCTGTGGCTGCTTGTAATGCTCTTTTGCCAACAACTTTAGCACCTTGTTTGAATAGAGGAATAGCATATCTCGCAAGGCTCTTGAAAATACCTCCGATCCCGTATCCTCTTTGAAAACGTGCACCATTAAACCCAGCGATGTTTCCGCCACGCTGCTGTCTCAAGAAATGGTCTCTCAGTAGTTTTTCGTCTACAACAAGTGTACCTCTTGGCATGTTGATGTGTTCAGTTCAACTTCACGCAGTCAACTAATCAAATATCACTTTGGTCGCCTATTTTATGGTTAAAAGATTGCCTTTTATCCGTTCTGATATCTATAATTTCGCC